TGTCTTTTGTCGACGTGGTCGCGAAAAGCGACGGGTGAACTTCGCCATCGAGGCGAACCAGTACCACTACATTCCCGACCTCGGGTTTCACCATCAAGATCTCCAAGTTTACGACAGTGCTCCTTCGAGGTGGCAGAGACATTGCGAGAAGAGAGCTCGCAACGGCACTCAGCTAATTCTTGCCACCTTCAATGTCCAGACGCTGGATCCGAAGGAGCGCCGGCAGCTACGCCGCATCGGCGAGAGCGTCGCCGCTCGCACGCACTACGTTGAGGACTTCTTCAACAAGCATCACATTTAGTTGGCAGGCATCCAGGAGTCGCGACTTCCCGATTCTGGTTGTCAAGATCTGGACCATTACTTCGCCTTCTCCGCCCCCTCCACTGACGACGGGTTGGGGGGGGGGGGGGGTGCAGATCTGGCTTCATAAGGACCTCAAGGTCCTGGCCAGCACGGCGGCTGCGAATGCAGTCAGCCCCCGTCTGCTACGCACGGAGTTCTCTGCATCAGGCCTCACGTTGACAGCCATCTCGGCGCGCGCCCCGGCGGCGTCGGCGCCCGCGGAAGAAAAGCGAGCCTTCTGGGCATCCCTCCAGAAAGAATTGGCCGCTGCACTGCACAAGCGCGCCCTGGTCGTCTTCATTGATGGCAGCGATGACGACGAGGCGGCCGGAGTCAACTCCAACTACCAGTTCGCCCTCGAGTGCCGCCTGGCGCGCGACCTCCAGGACGCCGCCGAGCTAAGCGGCACCATGGGGCCCACCTGGTTCGGGCTCCCGGGCCACGAGAAGCGCAGCGACCATGTGTGGCTCGGCCCCCGCTGGCACCGCAAGCTGCACGCCGCGAGCGTCCAGCACGGTTCGCTGTGCTTCTCCGAGCGAGAGGGCCGCCGGGTAGTCAAGGCCACGGTCGCCAAGGACCAGTCGCTGAGTCCGAGGCCCGCGCCCAACCTCAACATGTCATCGGAGAAGTTGCACGACCCCAAAGTACGCCGGGCCTTCGAAACGGACATGTTCGCCCTCGCGGACGAGCTCCAGCACAACGTCACTCAGGGCTCCGACGTCTACCGCGCTCAGATGATCGAGCACGTCCAGGACCTCCAACGCAAGCACTTCTTCGCGCCGGCGTCACGAGTTCCCAAGAAGCCCTGGATCTCTTCGACGAGCTGGGCTCTCATCAAAAACACCCTGGGCATCAGGAACTTGGCAGTCTGGAGCTGGCAGCAGGCGCAGCGCCTCCCACTCCAACGAGGGTTTCAAGCATGGGCAGGTCATCTGCGCAGTCCTGCTTCGCCCGAGTATGCCGCTCTACGTGGGTCCATCGCGGCCGCCCGCCGGAGGGCGGCTCAGTCCTCTGCCTCCCTATCGGCGCACCGCAATGCCACGAGGGCGCTAACTCGGGCCGATCGGCAGACCTGGGCAGAGGGCCTGGCAAGGCAGGCGGACGTCGCAGACCGAGATGGCAACGCCAAGGCTCTGTTCGGCATCACCCGTCAGATTCGGACGCCCCGGGTTTTCCGGAAGCGCGCGAAGGTCAACGACGAGCAGGGCCGCTCGCTGTACGATCCTGGTCAGATCTCCTCAAGGTGGAAGCGCCACTGGGCGCCCTTGTTCGCCGGCCAGATTCTCCCGATGAGCGAGGTCGCTGCCCACGTGCAGCAATGCCCGCGTCCAGCACTTCACCAACCTTCTGAACCACTTGACTGCAGTTCCGTACGGCGGCAGCTTTCGTGGGTTCATCCTAAAAAGGGACTTGGGCCAGATGGTATTGGCGCTGAGGTGTGGCGCCCTGGGAGAGAGGGCGCGCTTGACGTAGTCGTGCCCCTGTTCAACTTGGCCACCTCGGCGGCGACGGCTCCGGTGGCCATGAAGGGCGGCAAGCTGTTCGACATCTGGAAGCAGACAGGCGACCCCGCGAACTGCGACTCCAGCCGCGGGATCCTCGTTTCAGATCATCTCTCGAAGTGGTACTGCGTATTAATCGCCGAGCCCGTCTTCCAATATGTACACGACTTTCTTGGCCCTGCACAGTGCGGCTCTGTGCCAGGAAGAGATGCCGCTCTCCTCGCTACTGCGCTGCAAACGTTTGTCGAGAGAAACCTTACCACGCGCGCGTCATGGGCATTACTTTTTCTTGACCTTGCCAAGGCCTTCGATTCCATCATCCGCGAGTGCTCGTACGGTGTTGATCAACTACACCTACCCGCGCTCGCCGAAGATCTCCAGCGTGCTGGCATTCCTCCTGAGGTTGCCCGCGAAGCACAAACCTACCTTCAGCATCACCCGCCTCTCCTCCAACAAGCAGGCCTACATGAAGACGACGTGCGCCGGGTGGCCGATTGGCACACGGGTACGTGGTTTGCAGTCCGGGGCGACGGAGATGATGTTGTACTCGCTCGGCGCGGAGCCTGCCAGGGATGCAGGTCGGGCGCCCTATGCTTCAACCTCGGCTACGAGCTGGGCCTCGGGCGCGCGAGACGCCGTTTCACCGAAGAGGGCATCGCCCTGCAGCTGCTCGCGCTGGCCGTGCTCGCTGTACCTTGGGCCGCAATCCTCGATGATAAACCCAACCTGCACGAGACTACCAACACGCCGAATGACGCCGAGTACGTGGACGACGCGGTCTTCATGTTCCAGCAGCAGCAAGAGGGTCGCACCGAGCAGGTCCTCCAGCAATTGGATAGAGCTACTGATATTCTTGTAGAAGAGTTCCGCCGGATTGGCCTCACCATCAATTTCGGCCCTGGCAAATCGGCAGCAATGGTGAAGCTCTTCGGCCCACGCTCTCGCACGCTCCGCCAAGAGCGCTTACTGCGTCGAGGTAAGGAGGAGTTCGTCACACAGCACGGCAACGTCCTTCAAGTGGTTCATCAGTTCCAACATCTTGGGGCCATACTACAAGACGCTGGCGGGCACCAAGCCGACGGACGCCGCAAGGCCACCAAGGCCCAGCAGTCCTTCGCGCCGCTGGCGGTGCCGATCTTCGGCTCCTCGCACATCCAGCTGCACACGAAGCTCATGCTCGCGCAATCCTTGATCCTCTCGCGCGCCCTCTACGCTGTTGCTGCCTGGAGGGGGCAGCTGGACAAAGGCTGGCAGCCGCTCGAGGCCCAGTACCACCGCGTCCTGCGCAGGAGCAACGGCACCATGAGGTACGGCGCCCCCGACACCATCACCGACGCTGCTGTCCGCGAGGCCCTGTCTGCCCCTTCGTTGCACTCGTTGGTCCGAGCTCGGCCCCGTCCGCGTTTGAGCTATTGCTTGATTTGAAACATCTTCAGCGGTTTCACTTTGACTGTTTAGCGGTCTTGGGGGACCCGTTCGCCTTTCCAGGAGCATGGAAGGAATACATCACCGCCCAACCGAAAAGGTGGAGGCGCTTGTGTCATGAGTTCAGCGCGTGTCCCCACCCGGCTGAGCGCCCTCCCTCCTCCGCGAGGCGGCTGCGAGGCAAGCAGGCGGCAGATGCCAGTCTCTTCGCGCCCAAGGATCCACTCCTCCCTTGCCCCACGTGCGGTAAGCAGTGTAAAGGGGCGAAGTGTCTGGCCGCTCACCAACGCCACGCCCACGGCGTCAAGATGCAGGCGCGGTACTATATCACAGGAACACATTGCCCATGCTGCCACAAGAATTTCCACACTCGGCCTCGAGCCTTGCACCACCTTCAGTTTTCGAGCAGACAATGCCGAGAGAAAATGAAGGCAGGTCTTTTACCCCGCCACTCCGAACAGGCTGTGATAGCAGCCGACCGGGCGGATGCTTTAGCACTCCGCGCCACGGGAGCCCGGGGCGAAACTCGCACTCGAGCCTTACTTCCTCCGCTGGCGCCTGACGTGGACCCAGCGGTATAAGTTCCGCTTTAACGTAGTCTGCGCTGCCCCTTGGCCGCGCTCGCTGCTTCCTCAAGCCGCGATTCCAGCAGAGCTCCAGGTCCGCCTACAGCCCAGCCAATCAATCAATCAATCAATCAATCAATCAATCAATCAATCAATCAATCAATCAATCAATCATCATCATCATCATCATCATCATCATCATCATCATCATCATCGTCAATATCGTAAACCTCGTCGCTGAGGTTGCCCCCAAAATGGAGCATGCACAAGACGCCGACGCTGGCCGGAGCCCCCTCGGTGTCATATCGCGGAACGGCAGGGATTGAGAGTCAAGCGCCAGCGTCGTCCTGTAACGGCGCTGGAACGCCCTCGACGGGCTCGCCATCCAACACGGACGTCTGCACAGAAATCAGGGCTGGGCCGACGAGGGGTACGCCGATAGAACCGTCGGTGGGGATGCCGGTCAGAGAGGCCGAGCCCAAGCTCCACAGGTTCACATGGCGCGGGCAGAGTCGGTGTACCGAGAGAAAGGAAAGAGCGCCGCGCTCGTTTCCAGCCGCAGGGCTGCCTCGAGCTCCCCACCAGCCACCGCCTCGTGGGTGTTCTCGCCGTCGGGCGCGGGAAGGGCAAGAAAGGGCGTGGTGACAAGGAGCGCCTGCGACGAGGAGCCTCGGCGGCGGCGCGCCCACGTGGGGCCGGCTGTCGGCCTCTCTCGCGCTACGGTATTCCCAGTCAGCGGTCTCGCTCGGCCCCTGGGCGGCGACGAGGGGGCCAACGCCCGGTAGTTGCGTAGATGCGCTCGCGGGGATGGAGGAAAAACACCGGGCGTCGCGCGCCGCCCGTGCGATGGCGTCGCGCCCAGGGCCCGCCCCGGGCTGGCGCCCGACGCTGGCGCGGGGGACGCCTCACCACGGGCCCCCGGGGAAGGGGTCGCACGGCGGCGGCCCCAGCACGAGGACGGTGGCGCGCCGCTGGGGCGCGACCCCCAGCAGCCCCGCTCTGAGCTGGGTCGCTGTCGGTGGGCACTCGGCGAGGAGCGGGGGGGCATCGGCAGGCGGACCGCAGAAGGGGGCCGAACCAGGACCGCCGCGGCCCCTGTTTCCCAGTCCCCTCTCGTTCCCCCCCCCTCCCCCCCCTTTTCCCCTCCCCCTTCTGGCGCGCAATCCTCGTGCGTGTACCTGCCCGTCCCCTGCTTGACATTATCGGCCCACTCGCCTGCGTACCTAGCGCCGCGGGCGTAGCATAATGCTTCTCATGCTGCTGTTGATGCCACTGCTACTGCTCTTCCTCGTGGCGTCGGAGGAAGATGAGGAGGTCACCCTCCTGAAACTATGGAACATATGATGATTGAGATGCTGATAATGAGAGAAGAAGGTGTGTGAAGGCGAAGCGAGGCACTCCTCCTCCTCCTCCTCCTCCTCCTCCTCCCCCTCCTCCTCCTCTTCCTCCTCCTCTTCCTCCTCCTCCTCCTCCTCCTCCTCCTCCCCCTCCCGGTGCACCTCTTCGTCCTCCTCCCCTCCTCGCCCTGGTGCGGGCCAATCCCATTGCCTTATAGATAACTCCTCCCTGTGGCACCCCAGACGTGTTGGTCGGGCGGGCAGGAAGTTTTGCCCGAGACTCCCCTGCAACTTATGATCCTGAAGCTTGAAGTTTGCAGCAGCATCACGGATGGAGGGCGGGACGTTTTCAAAATGTGGCTCTCGCCTTTGCGCTGCGTGCGCTCGTCTTCAAGGATGGAGATCGCATGGTTTTCAACATGTACCTGTCGCCGTAGCGCCGCGCGCATTCGCCTTAAAACTGTGCCCTAGTCTCATGGATCCGTAAGGTTGGACTCCCAGGAATGTTCTGGCACGGCTTGGGACTGTCGGGACGCGACACTTACGTTGCTTCGCGGCGCTGAAGTCCCAAGAGCTGCGTTTGGCACGATTGAAGGCTCTCAGACGGCTGTCCTTCAATGGGGCACTCCCTGCAATGATCAGACACTTTTGCAGGGTCCGATGAAGAGGGAACTTGGAGGGATGGTTCTATTGTAACATCGTTGATGCGTATTGGAGATACACTGGCCACCCTCGTTTCCCTCCTCCTCATCCTCCTGCTCTTCCTCTCCCTCCCCATCCTCCTCCTGTGTGCCTGGCGCCATTGGCGTAGCAGAAGAGGCCTTTGCCATTCCTGAGCCCGTTACCTGGCTTGGCGTGGCGTGGCGTGGAAGAGGGTGTGTAGGAGGAGGCGGGAGAGGAGGAGGAGGAGAAGGAGGAAGAGGAGGAGGAAGAGAAACAGGATGAAGAAGGTCAATGAAACGAGCCAGATGGTGAGGAACAAGGAGTACGATGAGGATGAGGATGGATGATGAACAAAGTGTGATGGTGGAGAAGAGGAGGCGGCGGTGAAAGAGGCGGAGGAGGAACCAGCGGAAGTGGAGGAGGATGGGGACGGGGGGTCTGGTCCTCAGACTCACTCTCAAGCTTTCATGGCAACGGCAACAACAGACAAAGACGTATCAACGATTTATGCTTTTGCTATTTGACCTGCCGACGTGCCTGCTGCACGTATGCGCCGCCGCACTGCTACGGCGCGATGCTGCCGAGTGCGCCCGCCCCGCACTCTAGGAACATTGAAGGACGTGGATCTCTCGGCGATGTGCGACTTTCGTTTCACGAATAATTAGTGGGCCTCGGGGATCGAGATTCATGCCTCGGATGGCCTCGGGATCGTCGTCGAATGTGGTCCGCAATGTAATTTGTGGCCAATGTGATGAAGTTCGGGGTGCATATGGGGCAATTCCGGGTCGTCTCCGCTTGTCGCACGCAGCATATGACAGTGATGACTGGTTTATGGGATGCCGAACTCGCTCCAATTTTTGGAACGCACATAACGCACGTTATGTGGCTGGGTGGGTGGGTGGGTGGGTTGGTTGGCGCATGACATAACACAATCGTGCCTTGCCGTTCGAATGTTTTTCCTCAGTTAGGCTTGCCTAAGGGGTTCTTACTGGGTTAAAGGTTAGTGCCTCAAAGCTTACTCTGCCCGTTCCCCGGAGACTTCTCGGGTTCACTGGGTTCCTCGGGTCCCGTTCCCTGAAGGTTCCCTGGGTTCCCCAGATTCCCCGCGGGTTCCCTGAGTTTCCTGGGAGCCTCATGCCAAACAATGCGAAGAAATGCCAAGCAATGCGGCCTTGCAGTAGAAACATTTCCCCTACTTGGGGGTTGCGCCGGTTCATGTTCTGAAAGCGCTGCCCCTGTTGCTACTGTTGGTGCTGATGTGGCGAAAAGGCCTAGCAGCTGCGATCGCCACAAGGAGCGGTGAAACCGCAATGCCAGCTTTCACGACACATGTTGATGCATACGCATGCACCGCGTCGCCTGTGTATATCACAACGCATGGGTGCATGGCCAGTGTTCCTGTGAACCACAGCGCCTGCGTGCACAACTGTGAACGATTACACCACAACGCTTTTGCACAACGCAATTGCGGCCATACAAACACGCTCCGCGTGCACCCCAAAGCCTGTGTGCAAGACGATCGTCGAACTCGTTCGGGTAAGACAGTCAGACAGAATGCTCCTCTGCCCTCCTCCTTCCTGCCGCTTCCTGCTCCCCCCCCCCTCTCCCTCCTCGTTCCTCCCTCCTCTTCCCCTCTCTTCCGTCCCCCCATCGTCCCTCTGCTCGGCGCGCGGCAGCGCCTGCGGGGCGGGAGTTGGAGCTATTCCACTGTACTCGCCGCGTGGCGAACGCCTGGGGGGCGAACGCGCGCGCTACTCCACTCTCCGCGCGGCGTGGCAGCGCCTGCGGGGCGGACAAAAATAACATTCCACCAGAGATGCTGAATGGTAGCGACTGGGGGGCGAAACGGACACTACTCCGCACCACGACTCGCCACGTGGCAACGCCTGCGAAACGGGGGACGTATTTCCCCGCTCCACTCGCAACGAGGCAATGCCGCGGGGGCGAAGCAAATGCTGCCTCACTCTCTTTGCCGCGTGGTGGCGCTCGGAGAGGGGCGGTGGGGTGGGGGCGCGTGCTGCCCGCCGTGCTCGCCGCGTGGCAACGCCTGCTGGGCGAAACGGAATCGCCCCACTCTGCTCGGCGCGTGGCGACGAAGCGGGGCGGCAATAAATGCCGCCCCTCGCGACTCGCCGCGTGGCAGCGCCGTGTGGTGAAGTTTGGGATGCAAGCATGAATGTTTTCCCGCCCCGCTCGCCGCGTGGCAGTGGCAGCCGTGTGGGGAACGAACGAAAACTATATCAGAATGACGGGGCCGAGCGGTCATTCATTGTCCCTGGGTGCGTGGCTGAAGTGGGGCTCCGTGGTAGGGATTATGCTTGTCGTTGTTGTCGTTGTCCCCCCCGCGACCCGCCCGCGACCCAGACCCACCGCGCGACCCGCCCCGCGACCCGGCCCGCGACCCGGCCCGCGACCCGGCCCGCGACCCGGCCCGCGACCCGGCCCGCGACCCGCGACCCACCCCGCGACCCGCTCGCAACCCACCCCACGACCCACCCTGCGACCCCCCTCGACCCACCCCGCGGCCCACCCCGCGACCCACCCGCGACCCGCCCCGCGACCCACCCCGGGGCCGGGGCCCACCCGCGACCCACCCGCAACCCTTGCGCGACCCGCCCGCGACCCATCCGCGACCCGGCCCGCGACCCGCCCGCGACCCATCCGCGACCCTCCCCGCGATCCACCCACATTGCTATAATACGAAAAAATCGGCGCCCGCGGCGGGTTCACCGCGTAATTTGCAAAAGTTCGGCGCCTGCGGCGGGCTTCTCCAGGGCCTCGCAGACTGACGACGTCCTCGCCGCCCCCTCGCTCTTATCCGCAACTGCGGGGTGCTGCGGTATTCGCGCAACTCATCGCGCGGCAATGCCGCGCGGGCCGAACGTATGCGACCCCACTCTGCGCGCCGCGCGGCAACGCGAGGGCGGCGAATAGAAAGCATCTATCTAGTGTATTCGCCGCGGGGCGGGGGCGCGCGCGGCGCCGCCCCGTTCGCGACGGGGCGGCGACGGGCCGGCGAACAGAACGCAGCGCGACTTTGCGCGCGGCGTTGCCAGATCGCACAGCGAAGCAATAAGTGCTCTATGGCGTTCGACGCGGCGGCGCCGCGGAGGCGAACGCAGCAATCTACCCGGCGCGTGGCTCGGACGCGGGCCGAGGCGACGACGAGGGCGAGGGCGAGGGCGGGGGCGGGGGCGACGACGACGACGACGACGCGAGTGACGACGACGACGACCGCGACGACGGACGACGATGACGACGACGGGCGACCTTCTGAGGAGACCCTGCAGCGCAGGCCTCGCGTCGACAACGGCCGCCGTGTAGAACTTAGGCGTTTGCCGCTCCGCGTGCTCTCAACAGGGCCACCCGGATGGCCCTGCTGAGAACGCGTAGGATGCGGCAAACGCCGCAGACCTCACGGGCAGGGGGCACGATCGGAAGCGACGCGCCGTTTGTGTTGGCTATATCTTCTGTTGAGATACCTATGCCGATCATGGCCTGGTGCCTGTGCCTGTGCCGGAATTGGTGCCAGCGCTGGTACCGATAGCGATAATGGCGCGGACAAGCGCCGAACCGTTCTTACCACGAACGTCAACACAGTCCAATAGTGCCCTGTGGGGGTCTGGAGGAAAAAGGGGTGGGCGGGGACGGCACATGAGGACAAGGGGGACGAGGAGGAAAGCCTGCAAGGAGGAATAGGAGCACGGGCAGGAGGGAAATGGAGGAGGCAATAGCAGAAAGAGGACCAGGACGAGGAGGACGACGAGGCGGAGAAGCACCACCAACATACCGATTTGCAGATTCAGTTCAACACCCCCAACAACGATTTTGAGCCAGGGTGGCTCTAAATTTTAGCTGCGCGTCTTCGGACTCATCGTCCTCCCACCCCTGATTTGCCTGCGCCCTTCGTCGTCATCGCTGTCGTCGTCATTGCTGACATCGTGCTCGTTGTCATATTTCTTGCCCTCTCCCCCTCCCAAGCCTCCTCCTGATCCTCCTCTGCCTCCTTTTCCCCCCTTGGCATCTCCTCCCCCCCCCTCATCCTGTTCCTCCTTCTCCTCGTCTTTCTTCTTCCTCCCTCTCTTCTTGTCCTCGTTATCGTGATCGTGATCCTGATGTTCTTCCTCCTGGTTCTTCTCGCCCCGCCTCGTCCTCCTGGTTCTCCTCCTCGGCCTTCAAGCTCCCCTCTCGCTGGCGATTTCAACATGTGCTAAGGCCTGGACCTCCCGCCTGAGACTTCTCGTGGCTCAGAAATCATGCTCTCGCCTTGGCGCCTGCTAGCTGTTTCTTTCGGGGCAGGTGCGCCTGGGCCCCTCCTGGGGCACAATTCGATCTTACCATTGTCGTGTAACAGGTAGCTTGGGCCTGGCCCCGTCTGACTCCTCTCTCCTACCTCTCGGAGCCCAATGGTGAGGATGTCTCAAGTAAAACTGACTGGAATACCTCGCGCGCGGCACCTCGGAACCCATGATTGCGAGGAGGCCTCAAGCGAGATTGGCCTGGCCATCTCTCGCGCGGCATCCTGGAACCCAGAGTTTCGCAAATGGATCAGGCGAATCCGACCGGAATGCCTCGAGCGCGTCTGAGCCTGGAGTTGCGGGGATGCATCAAGCGAAATTGGCCAAATCACCTCGGGTGCGGCATGTCTTCAGCCCGGAGAAGAGAAGATGTCTCATGCGAAACTGGCCAGACCACCTCAAGTCAGGAACATCTCGGAACCCAAAATTGCGAGGATGTCTGAGGCTAGCCGGGCTGGACAACCTCGCGCGTCGCAATTTCGAGCCCAGAGATGCGAGGATGTCTCAAGCGATTTGCGCCAAATTACCTCAGGCCACAACAGTTCTGATGCCAAAGTTGCGAAGATGTCTCAAGCGAAATGGGTTAAGACCAACCCGCGCGCGGCATGTGAGGATGTCTCAGGCGAAACAGGCTGGACCAACTCTGGTCCAAGCATATCTGAGCCCGCGCGCGACATCTTGGAAACACAAATTGCGAAGATGTCGCAGGCAAAATTAGCCTGACCACTTCGCACGCGGCATCTCGGAACCCAACGTTGCGAAGATGTTTCAGGCCAACCGGGCCGGACCAACTCAGGTCAGAGCATCTCCGATCCCAGAGCTGCGATGATGCTTCTGGCGAAAATTTGCCGCACCACCTCGCGGAAGGTATCTCTGAGCCGAGA